AGGGTTTAGGGTTTAGGGTGGGACTAGGCTTTCGGGCTTTAGGGTTCTAGCGGCGAGGGTTAAGGGCTCCGGATTTAAGATCAAGGGCTTTCGGGTTTGAGTTTAGGGTTTGTCGAAGCCCGAGAATTTCCGACACTCCATCCGCTCTGGATGCACCCTTTTGGTGTTAATCATAACAAGGGGGAGAGCCTTGAACTCTGGATTCAGAGGATAGTCCTTACTTTAGCCGGCTCTGGACATTGAGAAGTTATTCGACTCCGAGGAGGTTACCTTTAGCTACAGTTGATCTCAGGAATCGCTGGAACCTGAGTGATCTGAGGATGGAGGAGTTTGAGGCTGAGGCCCCCACTCCAGCAGGGGCAGCAGTCGCTGCGATCGGAGCAGCTGCATAAGTGTACGGGGATTGGTAGCTGACAGTTGGTACGTACGTGGGTGCAGCAGACATCTGCTCGGTGGTGTATGTGTACTGAGGCTGCGCGGTGTAGACTGGACCGGGGTATGAGTATGCCGGGGCAGGCTGTGATGCGTAAGTGTATTGCGCATACTCCGTCCGCGCTCCAGGGATATAGGGCCCAGAAATCTGTAATGGGGCCGGTGCGGCTGCAGCAGCAGAGGATGTCATTGGGACTGCTGCCTGAGACGAGCCTTGCACTGTCGTATAAGTAACAGGGGCTGGCGCTGCATATGCCTGCGGGATGTCCCCAGCCGGCGCGGCATACATAGCCGGTGCGGGCTGCATCTCCATGGGGGTGTACGAGGCAGGAGCCGCATAGACAGGAGGGAGCTGGGGGGCTTCTGCGGGGGCCGCATAGATAGCGGGAGTGGGTCCTGCAGCCGGGGCTGGAGCAGCATATGTCATGGGCATCTGCTCGGGTGCCGCATAGGTCATGGGCATCTGCTCGGGGGCAGCATACATCATAGGCTGCTGTTCAGGTGCTGCGTAGATTGCCGGGGGGGCAGTTTGTGCCGCGGCCGGTGCAGCATAGGTCATGGGTTGCTGCTCCGGGGCTGCATAAAATGCCGGCGCAGAAGCGGGGGTTGGTGCCGCTGCGGGGGCAGCATAGGTCATGGGCTGCTGCTCTGGGCCCACTGCTGCAGCTGGAGCTGCGTAAGTCATCGGCTGCTGCTCCGGCGCTGCATAGATGGCCGGAGTGGGAGCTGGGGCCGGTGCTGCAGCTGGCGCAGCATAGGTCATGGGCTGCTGCTCGGGTGCTGCATACACTGCCGAGGCGCTAGGAGCCGGCATGGTTACTGGGGGCAGTGTGTAGGTTACTGGCTGCTGCGAGTACTGCACCGAGGAAGCTCCTGGGGGGACCGTGTAGGCGACGGGCTGTGGCTGGGAGTACTGCACTGAGGAGCCCGTGCCTGTGGCAGGTGCAGTAGCTGCTTGCACCTTGGCAATTCACTCCCAGGGCTTGACCAAAGGCTCGGAGCGTAACTAAACTGCGATAACAGTCATGTTCCGGGCCAAATCAGTTGTTTGAGCACATCGCGAATCAAACCGGCGAGGAGCCAATGACAGCGGAAGCACTAAGAGCAGGAGGTATATGGCAGAGACAAGGAAGCAAGGATGAGCAGGGGCACCTAGTACTGGTAGCAATTGGAATAAGAGTACTAGTACTGCTAATGATGACTAGCAAGAATAAAGCCTTAATGGTGACAACAGCAATGACAGTAACACTCACACTAGCAGCCACAAGCAAACATTAACAAACATGATGATAGTGCTTGAAATAACAAAGCAAAACAACAATGACAGCAACTGCGACAATCGTCATAACATTGCTCGCCGATGCAATACAAAATGTAGCAATGAGCAATAGGCTGATAGCAAAACAATCATACTAGTGCCGTATATGGCGACAAACACATGCATGTGCATATGTATGTATGTACGTATGTATGTATGTATGTATGTATGTATGTATGCATCTATGCATGCATGCATGTATCTACCGCCACCATAAACATCAAGATCATCATAAGAATAGAACACTAGTTGTCGTAATAGTAGCAGTAATAAAACATAGCACTGGCACTAATATTGAGTCTCTACGCCTCTACGCCTTATGCATAATATGGGGGCCTTCATAGTTAGACAAGGGTGTTGGGGTACCTATCGTATACTTGTAATAAAGACCCCTTAAGGAATAATATCGGCAGTTATTTCGGCGCCTACAGTAGATCGACTAAGGCTTCGGAATCATGGTGGCGACTACGAAGATCAGGCCTTATCCTTGAACCCTAAACCCAACCTTAAACCCGAACCTCTGTGGCTTCTGAGTTTCAGGATTCAGGCTTTCAGATTCAGGTTTTCGGGTGTTGGGGGGTTATAAGTTATAAATTTATGCTTGGGCTTGAGTGCATTTGGGCTTTAAAGACGTTAGGACTAGGGCTCTAGCGATTAGTCTGGCTACGACACGCTTTGCAACCTGATCCTGAACCCTAAACCCTGAGTGCTGCGCGACAGTGGTGATCGGCGCCGCACTGGTCATGGGGGTCGAGATCGGGGCATAGTTCGCAGGAGCCTCGATGCTCTTTGCAAAATTTAGGGATATGCATAAACAAGATTTCTTACCTGTTGGCCTTGTGTAAGCCTTTGCGGGGCCTTTACCCCTAAAGCACCCTGGTAAGAGACCCTCCTTTGGAAACCAAAAAGAAGCACTTCCCCGAAACGCAACATAACCCTAAACCCCAAACTCTAAACCCTAAATGCTAAGGCGGGAGCTGCATACGTGATCGGCGCCGCACTGGTCATGGGGGTCGAGGCCGGGGCATAGCTCGCAGGAGCCTCGATGCTTTTTGAAAAAATGTATCCTAAAGCACCCTGATAAGAGACCCTCCTTTGGAAACAAAAAAAAGCACTTCCCCGAAACGGAACATAACCCTAAACCCCAAACTCTAAACCCTAAATGCTAAGGCGGGAGCTGCATACGTGATCGGCGCCGCACTGGTCATGGGGGCATAGCTCGCAGGAGCCTCGATGCTCTAGGGTTCAGGGTTTAGGATATACATAAACACGATTTCTTGCTCGTTGGCTTTGTGTAAGCCTTTGCGGGGCCTTTA